CTAAGGTCTTCTACATAAAGTATCAAATTACCTGCAAATAGTGACAATTTTACTTCTTGCTTTCCTGTTTGGATGTCTCTCATTTCTTTTTCTTGCCCAACTGCTCTGACTAGGGCTTTGGGTCATTGTGTTTTCATGTTCATTATCTCGATATATACACACTTTGATTTCTTCCTTGATATTGTAGATTAACCAATTGTTTAGTAACATGTTATTTGTCCTCCACCTGTTTTTGTGTTTTGCAGTTTAATTTTTATACTTGATTTCTGATTTCATACCATTATGGTCAGAGAAGATGTTTGAAATGATTTCAATTCTCTTAATTTAATGAGATTTTTTTGTGTGTATAGCATGTATTCTATCCTAAAAAAAGTTCTATGAGCACATGAAAAGAATGTGCTTTTGCTTTTAGCTGAAATGTTCTAAAGATATCTATTAAGCTCACCTGGTCTAATGTGTCATTTATGGCTCCTGTTTTCTTAATGATTTTCTGTCTGGCTGAACTATCCCTTGATGTCAATGAGGTGTTAGAGTCCTCTACTATGACTGTATTACTATCTATTTATCCCTTTATGTCTGTCAATATATTTTTTTTCACAAAGAGTGGTGAATTTTTTTTAATTTTATTTAGTTATTTTTCAAGTACAGTTTTTTGTCTATTTCTCCCATCCCAGCCTCCCCCACCTCATGATCTCCATCTCCCTCCCATTTTAAGTCTGTCAATATTTGACTTACATATTTTGGTGCTTCTATTTTGGGTTCATAAATGTTTAAAACAGTTATAACCCCTTGTTGGATTGATCCCTTTATCACTTTGAAATGCTAATCTTTGTTTCTTTTTACTAACTTTGTTTTAAAGTCTATTTTGTCTGGTACAGGTATTGATGCCCTATCTTTTAGTTTCATGTTATATTTTATCATTTTTCAATTTTTTAAATTCATTTACTTTCAGTTCATATATATCTTTCAATCTGAGCCAGATCTCTTATATGCAACCTATGTACAGCTATTTTTTTAGCCATTAAGCCACCCTATGTCTCTTAATTGGTGTGTCAAGTCCATTTGCATTTAATGTAACTATTCATAGGTATGTAGTTATTGCCATTTTATTATTTTCTGATTGTTTTTATAGTTCTCTGTTCTTTTCTTTTGTCTTGATCTCTTCAACACTGATGACTTTCAACAGTGTGTTTGTATTCCTTTTTCTTTATTGCTTGTATATCTGTTATAGAGTTTTGGTTTGTGGTTATGATATGCTTTGTATATACCACACTATGTTGACAGCAGTCTATTTTAAGTTGGTAGTTTCTTATATACAAATACATTCTAAAACCACTACATTTTTTACTCAAGCCCTCTATATTAATGTTTCTGTCATTATTTTTACTTTTTTTGGTTGTGTGTTGGTGTGTATTCCTTAATTTGTTTTTGTAATCACACTTGATCCTGGGGCCCTCCCTTTGTGATTATTGAAAGTTCTGCTTTTCTTTATAAATAAGGCTTATAAAAAGATGATAATAAACTACAAAATCTCTAAGACTGATAAAACTAAGTAAAGCAAGTTGTAAAAATAAAGTATCACACTGTGGTATGGCTAAAGCATTTTGGACAACAATTACACAATATTCTGTAATATTCACTTAAAACCTTCACTCCCTCACTTTCTTTTACAAGTCCATGTTGAAATACCACACACATGCCTCAGGCTGGGTACAAACTAAATGCACATCAATGGAAGAATGATTACAGTACTCCCATACTTAAAACGAGAATATACCATACCTCAACAAAATGAAGGTCATATATGACAAACCCACAGCCAAAATCATATTCAATGGGCAAAATTGAAAAGTATTTTCCTTAAAACCAGGAACAAGACAGAGATGTCTGCTCTCAACAATCTTATTCACCATAACAATAGAAGTCTTACCCATAGCAATCAGTTAAGAAGAAAATGGCATCTAACTTAGAAAGGAGAAAGTACATTTGTCATGATTCACAGATGACATGATATTGTATATAGAAAACCCTAAAAACTCCAAAAAAAGCTACTACATCAAATCAGTGAATTTGGCAAAGTAGCAAGATACAAAATTATTCAGGCACTGGTGGCATTTCTATACACGAATAACAAACCATAAGAAAAAGAAACTAACAAAATAATTCAATTTATTATTGCAAAAACAAAAATAAGAAACTTAGAAATAAATTTAACCAAGGAGGTAAAAGACCTGTATTTGGAAAACTATAAGATACTGAAGAAAGAAATTGAGGAAGATACAAATAAGTGGAAGCATATACCATGTTCATAGATTAGAAGAATTAACATTATTAAAATATCCATACTATCCAAAGATTCCATACTAGCTATAGAATCAACACCATTCATACTAAAATATCAATACCATATTTCACAGATCTAGGAGAAAATTACAAAAATGTATTTGGAGCCAAAAAAGACCCCAAAGAGCCTCAGCAATCTTGACAAAAAAGAAAAAACTTAGAGGTAACACAATACTGGATATGAAACTATACAAGGACATGGTAATCAAAACAGCCTGGCACTGGCATAACAACAGGCATATAGATCAATGGAACAGAACAGAAACCCAAAAATCAACCATGGCTGTGTGGTCAATTAATATCTGACACAGGAGGCAAGAGCATAAAATGGACTAAAAACAGTCTCTTCAACAAATTGTGTTGGGAAAATTGCACAGATACATGAAAAAATGAAACTGGACTACCAACTTACACTATACACAGGAATAAATTCAAAAAAAATAAATGACTTAAATATAAGTCAAGAAACCATACGAATCCTAGAAGAAAACATAGGCAGTAAAATCTCAGACAATTCTCATACCAATATTTTGCCAATATATCTCTTAAGAAAAGGAAAACAAAGGAAAAATAAACAAAGGCAACTATTTAATACTTCAAACAAAAAAGCTTCTGCACAGCAAAAGAAACCAACAACAAAATAAAAAGGCAATCCACTGTAGGAGAAAACATATTTACCAAGAATACATTTGAAAAGGGGTTAATTTCCTAAATATATAAAGAACTTAACACAGATAAACACCAGGAAGACAAACAATACAATCTACAAATGGACAAAGGACCTGAGTAGACACTTCTCCAAAGAGGACATAAAGATGACCAATAAATACAGGAAAACAATCATCAGTGTCATTAACACTGATGCAAACACCCTAGTGCAAATTGGCACAGCCACTGTGGAAAACAGTATGGAGTTGTCCACAGCAGCTGTAGAAAAATGGAAGAATGGAACTGCCTTTTCACCCACAGGTCCTACTTCTGAGAAAAAAATCTTAAGAATCCTGAACTACCAGCTCAAAAGAATATGGGTATCCTTAATGCATAGCAGCATTATTTACAATAGCCAAGATCTGGAAACAGCTCAAGTGCCCATCAGTAGATGAGTAGATTAAAAGGTGTGGTATATTTATACAATGGAATACTATGCAGACATAAAAAGAAAGGATTCTTTTCTTTTTTACAGGATGAAGAATAGATGACATGGAGACTATTATACTAAGTGAAATAAGCCAGTCAGAGAAAGACAAATACTGTATGATCTCACTTATATGTGGAATGTAATTAACTACATAAACTGATGAATAAAATAGAACCAGAGACATGGAATCATGAACAGGCTGACAGCTGTCAGCAGGAAGGACTGACTGGATGAAAGAAGGTGAAGGGATTAGCCAAAGAACATGTATGCATTGCCCAAATACAGACCACAGTGTGGTGATGGCCACAGAGAAGGGGTTTTAGAGGTTGGGTGGATATGGGCAAAGTGGGGAAAAATGGGGACATCTGAATTAGTGTCAACAACAAAACTAAAATTTAAAAAAAGACTACCAGACAACCAAAAAGACAAAACAAACATAAATTTAAACAAACACCCCCCCAAAAAAAAACTAAGGCCCTGGCAGGGTGACTCAGTTGGTAGGAGCACTTTCCCATACACCAAAAGTTTGCTAGTTCAATTCCCATTATGGCACATTCTTTGGTTGCTGGTTCAATCCCCAGTCAGTGTACATAAGGGAGGCAACCACTGGATGATTCTTTCTCACATTGATTTTTCTCTTCCTCTTTCCTTCTCATTCTGTCTCTCTCTCTTTCCTCCCCCCCCCATCTAAAAACAGTGAAAGTATCTTCCTATGAGAAAAACAAACCTAAGAAAAAATAACAAAAAAAAAGAATACCAAATATTAGTTAAAGTGTAAGGTAAATCCACATATACTAAGATTCAAAGAATTTAAGTCATAGTGTTAGTTGGAAAGAAACAAATTACAAAAGAATATGTATGGTATAACTGTATTCTATAGGGCAAAACCCCACAGAACAAATTCCTATATGTATGGGGGATACACACTTGAAATCTATGAAAGCTCTTATATGAGGGAGGGGAGCAATAGGGTATGCAAAAGAAGATTTGAGTGCTCTTGCTTTGTCTGCTTTTTTGTGTTTTTAAATAAGAAATCTATATTCACATATCATGCGAGTGTTTTTTGAAAAATGGATAGCATTATAAAAAAACCAATATAGTTTGACAAGTACGGATTTACAAAAATTTTGAGTTGGAATAGACAAAGTACTTACATGTGCAAAACGTTTAACACCTCACACTGCACAAAAAATTGGCAACAACTAAAAAATAATAATTAAAAATACCAGTTTAATCTTCGTTTGCTTTAGCCAAGTCATCTTGAATTGTACTATGCTGTATGTTAGTTTTTAAAAAATAATTCACTTAAGCTGCATTAGTATTTAGACAGTATTTGTGATAAGGATCATTTTACACAGGAAATAAGTGAGAGTTGAAGGAAGGAAGTGTGTGAGTCCTGAGCTCATGTAAAGCTGTGCAAGTTTGTAGCCCACCAGGTTTCTGCTGTACCACATGAACGCCTCTCCCCACCACACTGTGATCTTTCATTTCTTGGTGAAAATTGGCAAGTATAACTTACTGAGTTGAAAGCATAAGACTTTTCTCCAAAGAGCCTGTTGGCAGTTCGAAGCAAGTACTGTGTGCCCATCCTGTTAACTTCAGTGAGAAGTGATTGGAAACCCTGGTGGACATCTTCACCTCCGCCTCCACTTTTACTTAGAGAAAGTGCCTAATAAAAAACAGAATACAAGTGTTCAACTTCAGTATGCTTGGACTTCAGGAAACTGGATACAACACCAAACTCTGTCTAAGAACTGTACAGATCCCCACTACAGCTTAAAAGAAGATTCATTCAATTAAAGACAGAAACTAACTTGAAAGCCACTCAATCCTGATAATACTTCCTGCATGGAGTCAGAGCCCTGTCTGCACAGGCAGGACAAGAAAACACCCCTCAAAAATCCAGGTTCTGGGTGCTCAGTACTTGTAGTCTGTCTAAAAATAAGGCTTTTCATTCTAGTATAGACATTATGATGTGCCTTGGTGTATTCCTTCTTGGGTCCACCTTCTTTGGGACTCTCTGAGCTTCCTGGACTTCCTGGAAGTCTATTTTTTTTGCCAGGTTAGGGAAATTCTCCTTTATCATGTTTTCAAAGAACTTTTTCACTTGTTGCTCTTCCTCATCTCCTTCTTGTACCCCTATAATTCCAATGTTGAAATGTTTAAAGTTGTCTTGGAGGTTCCTAAGCCTCTTCTCATTTTTTTGGATTTGTGTTTCTTTATTCTTTTCTGATTGCACATTTCTTTCTTCATTCCAATCCACTCCACTGATTTGAGTCCCAGTTTCCTTCCCATCACTATTGGTTCTCTGTATATTTTCCTCTATTTCATGTAGCATAACCTTCATTTTTCCATCTAATTTACAACCCTATTCAATCACTTCTGTGAGCATCCTGATTACCAGTGTTTTGAACTGTGAATCTGATAAGTTGGCTATCTCTTTGTTGCTTAGTTGCTTTTTTTTTTCTGGAGCTTTGATCTGTCCTTTTGTTTGGGCCATTTTTTTTGTCTTCATATGTCTGTTATGTAGTGGGGGGGCGGAACATTAGGTGTTCATCAGGGTGGGACAACCCAGGTCACTGAGCTGTGATGCTTTATGTGGAGCAGGGGGCAGAGAGGGAACAATGGTACTTGCTCTGCTCTCTGCCAGATTTCAGTCACTTCCCCCATTTCTCACAAGCAAATTGGGCTTGTCTGGTGCTGGTTTCTGTGTGGGTGGGTTTGTGTATATTCTATGACCCTGTGGGTCTCTCCAGTGAACTCTCCTGTGAGGCTGGGAGAGTTCAGCACCTCAATTCTCATTGGTGCTTTCAATTGGTGTTTTGAGGATATACTTTCCTGTGCTGGTGCCCTGGGTTGCAAGGTCTGTCTCATTCCCCAGTTTCACCTGATTTATCTATGCACAAATGTGGGACCACCTGCCGCCTTGTGAATCGCACTGCGCACCACACTCCACTGCCTTGCTAGATCTTCTAACCACCAACCTGTGTCCCCAGGGTCCAAGAGCCACTGCTTTGCCATGAATCCTCCCAACCCCGTTTGACTGACTCCCCATTTCCTACTGGTCTGGATGAATGTTTCTTTAACTTCTTGATTGTCAGACTTCTATAACATTCGATTTTCCATCAGTACTGGCTATTTTTTATTTTTAAATTGTTGTCCTTGTTTTGTTTGTGTGAGGAGGCACAGTATGTCAACCTACACCTCCATCTTGGCCGGAAGTCCCCAAGTTTGGGGTTTCTTATATTCTCAAAAGTAGACTTCCTGGGTCATAAGGAATTTCCATATTTAATTTTCTTGAGGTAACTCTATACTGCTTTCCACAGTGGTGGCACCAGTGTGCATTCCCACCAACAGTGCATGAGGGTTCCCTTTTCTCCACATCCTTGCCAACAGTTGTTGTTTGTGGATTGATTGATGATAGCCATTCTGACAGGTATGAGATGATATCTCAATATGGTTTTAAAGTGCATCTCTCTGATTATTAATGGTGTTGAGCATCTTTTCATATGTCTATTTGTCATCTGTATGTCCTCTTTGGAGAAGTGTCTATTCATGTTCTTTGCTCAATTTTTTATTGGATTGTTTGTTTTTTGGTGTTGAGTTTATAACATCCTTATAAATGTTGGATATTAAGCCCTTAATAGATATATTTGTGAATATGTTCTCTCATTAACTAGGTTTTCTTTTCATTGTGTTGATGGTTTCTTTTGCATTGGACAAAACTTCTAGTTTGATGTAGTCCCATTTGTTTACTTATTTTGTTTCCCTTGCCTGAAGAGATATGTCAGAAAAAAATATTGCTGCAAGAAATGTCTAACATTTTACTATTTTCCTTCTAACATTTTTATGGTTTGAGTCTAACACTGAAGTCTTTAATCCATTTTGAGTTTATTCTTGGGTATGGGATAAGAAAATGTTCTACTTTTATTTTTTACCACATATGTGTCTAATTTTCACAACAGGATTTATTGACTAGGTTATCTTTACCCCATTTTGTTTTAGATCTTTTGTCAAATACTAATTGACTATAAAGGCATGGATTCCCTTTTGGACACTCTATTTTGTTCCATTGATTTAAATATCTGTTTTTATACCAGTTCCATGCTGTTACTATGTTAATTAAATATGTTAATGACTATATCCTTTTAGTATAGTTTGATATCAGGCAGTGTGATTCGTCTAAGTTTGTTCTTCTATCTCAAAATTGCTGTGGCTATTTGGGATCTTGTGCGGTTCCATAAAATTTCTGGAATATTTGTTCTAGTGCTGTGAAATATGCCATGGATATCTAGAGTGGAATTACATTCAATCTATAGACTGCTTTGGGTAGTATGGACATTGGAATGATGATAATTCTTGCCATCCATGAACACAGTATATGCTTCCACATATTTGTATTTTTTTCATTTTACCACTTCAGTGTCTCTTACTTTTTCTAGTAGAGTATTTTTCCATTCTTAGTAAAATTTATTCCTACTTATTAGACATATTTTTTTCAGATTTTATTTATTTGACTTCCTCCAAGATGGATGCATAGGTGGAAACACTCTGTCTTCTCTCACAACCAAGTTTAAAAACAACAAGTTTTAGCAAGAAAAACACAGTCAAACCACAGAAAATTGAACTCTATGGAAGTCTGACAACAATGAACACTTCAGCCAAACCAGTAAGACGAACAGAGCCAGCAGCAGAGCAGGGTCGGGCAGGAAAGATCCACTGGACCAACCTGGGCTCCCAACCCAGGCATGCAGGCAGTGGGCTGATCCCAGGTGTGAAGTAGCAGCAGGCGGACCCACTGAGGGCACAAAGCGGCAGACCCATTGACGGCTGACTGTGGTCACCCATTCTCACACAAATAACCGGCGAAGGAACAGTGAGACTGAGAAAGACCCCGCAGGCCTCAGTGGGGGGAAGCAGCAGAGGAGACCGCTATTGTCCCACTCTGACCCTGCCCCCACATAAAGCATCACAAAACAGCGACTTCGGTGGCCCCACCCTGGTGAACACCTAAGGCTCAGCTCCTCATACCTAAAAGGCTCAAACAGAGCAAAATATAATGGCTCAAGAAAAACAGCTCAAAGCCCCAGAGCCAATAACTCTAAGTGATGAAGGAACAGCCAAACTCTCAGATGCAAGTTCAAAACACTGGTGATCAGATGCTCACAGAACTGGTTGATTTTAGTCACAAATTAGAGGAACAAATGAAGGCTAAACTAATTGAAGGAAAATGCACAGGAAACCAATAGTAATGGAAAGGAAACTGGGACTCAATTCAAGGGAGTGGACCAGAAGGAACAAAAAAATGACCAAACAGAAAAAGATGAAGAAACAAGAATTCAAAAAATGGGGAGAGGCTTAGGAACCTCCAGGACATCTTTAAATGCTCCAACATCTGGATTATAGGAGTATCAGAAGGGGAAGAGGAACAGTCATGAGTGGAAACCTTATTTGAACAAATAATAAAAGAGAACTCCCCCAATCTGGCTAAGGAAATAGACTTCCAGGGAATCCAGGAAGCTCAGAGAGTCCCAAAGAAGTTGGACCCAAGAAGGAACACACCAAGGTACATCATAATTATATTAGCCAAGATTCAAATGAAGGAGAGAATCCTAGAAGCAGCAAGAGATAAGTGGACTGTCACCTACAAAGGAGTTCCCATCAGACTGTCAGCAGATTTCTCAAAAGAGACCTTGCAGGAAAGAAGGGACTGGAAAGAGGTATTTCAAGTCATGAAATCCAAAGACCTACAACCAAGATTGCTCTATCCAGCAAAGCTTTCATTTAGAATGGAAGGACAGAAGAAGTGCTTCTCAGATAAGATCATATTCAAGGAGTTCATCATCACCAAGCCATTATTATATGAAATGTTAAAGGGACTTACCTAGGAAAAAGAAGATAAAAAAGATGAACAGTGAAATGACAGCAAACTCACAGTTATTAACAACCACACCTAAAACAAAAGCAAACTAAGAGGACAGCTAGATCAGGAGCAGAACCATAGAAATAAAGATCACATGGAAGATTAGCAACAGGGGAGTGGGAGAAGGAGAAGGGGGAGAAGGTACAGAAAATAAGTAGCGTAGACCGTAGACAGAAAATAGATAGGAGGGAGGGTAAGAATAGTATGGGAAATATAGAATCTAAAGAACTTGAGACATGTGGTCATAAACTAAAGGGGGGAATGTTGGGGGAGGGGGTGTACAGGGTGGAGGGAAATGAAAGGGGGAATAAAACAACTGTAATGGCATAATCAATAAAATATATTTTTAAAATATTTTATTTATTTATCTTTAGAGGAGAAGGAAAGAAGAGAGGGAGAGAAATATCAACGTATGGTTGCCTCTTGTGCATCCCCTGCTGGGAACTGGCCTGCAACCCTGGCATGTGCCCTGACTGGGGATTGAACTGTGATTGCCTGGTTCACAGGCATGTGCTCAATCCACTGAGCTACACCAGCCAGGGCTAATACACATATTTTTGAAGAAATTGTGAATGAGATTTGCCCAGTTTCTTATCCTGAGATTTCATTATTGGTGTATAAAAATGCCCTGATTTCTGGATATTTATTTCATATCCTGTTACACATTGAATTCATTGATCAGTTCTAGTAGTGTTTTAGTGGAATCTTTAGGGTTTTCTCTCTATAATATCATGTTATCTGC